TCAGGTTTAGGTCAGGTCTGGGGCTGGTCTGGGTCAGGTTTAGGTCAGGTCTGAGGCTGGTCTGGATCAGGTTTAGGTCAGGTCTGGGGCTGGTCTGGGTCAGGTTTAGGTCAGGTTTGGGTCAGATTTAGGTCAGGTTTGGGTCAGGTCTGGGTCAGGTTTAGGTCAGGTTTGGGTCAGATTTAGGTCAGGTTTGGGTCAGGTCTGGGTCAGGTTTGTGTCAGATTTAGGTCAGGTTTGGGTCAGGTCTGGGTCAGGTTTGTGTCGGGTCTGGGTCAGGTTTAGGTCAGGTTTGGGTCAGATTTAGGTCAGGTTTGGGTCAGGTTTGTGTCAGGTCTGGGTCAGGTTTAGGTCAGGTCTGGGTCTGGTCTGGGTCTAGTTTGGGTCAGAAAGAACCATTTCTCTAACTGCAGGCGTGTCTTCCACTAACTGTACTTTCAAACTGCACCTCCCTGAACTCTTTAGGACACGGACATTTCACACGTCCAGCTCTTGCAGTCGGATTACAGACGTGTAGAAGTGAATGCTGCAGGACGGGGTGGGTTAACTATTGACAGCAGTACAACGTGCACAGACTGCAAGCTGTGCACACAAAAACAGATTATTTTAATAATTTGGACTGGGAAAATCGGCTGCACGGCTCGCTGGTCACAAACACTCAGAAATCAGTGAGGAGTTTTAACTGGAACCATTTTAAACAAACTCTGTGACTTCCTAAAAGTAACTGGAAAAAGTTGCTCTGCTGGATTTTTATTTAGACATTTTTTTAAATAAAATATCTTCCTGCTAGAAGATGAAGGAGCAGATTTAGCAGTTTACATTAATCTACATCAATAAAAACAGTTTTTTAAATTTTTTTAGAAATGGAGCAACAGTTTAAAAACACGAGTACTTTCCAGTCTGACTCCGACACTAAAGAACTTTTGATTGTAAACTTTTATCACGCTCTTCTTTTATTCAAACAAAGTATTTGTTGTTACTCGTGTCTTCGTCTTTGTGAAAAAGGAAAAACACATTCCTCCTCTGTGTAAAACCACATTGTTGTTGTTTACAAGCAGGTTAATGTTTTGTTTCTGAAGGAGTTGGATGCAAACAGTACAGCAACATGTCACCGTCTGAAGCAAAGGTGCATTTTAGTTTAACAATAATTTTCATCTGATGAAAATTTAATCTCCCTGCAGTGAAGCTGGAGAATTTAAACTCTGACAAACTCACTTTAATTATAAATACCCAGTATACTCAAAACATTTCTTTTTAAAAATCCAACACTGAGCACAAATTATTATTGTTTAAGATCTGAAAGAGAAGTGAAAAGAAACACAAATTATTACTATGCATTCATCTGCAGTTACCCTAATTTCTTCAGTAATTAGCGTTTTATATTAAAATATTCACATAAAGTATTTTCAACAGAATCCCTGCATCTAAAAGAAGCTGTAGGTCTGACTCGTGCATTCTGGGTAAAAAATGTTCCTCAAAGTTGAAACTAATTAGGTTGTATAAAAACAAAACTAGCATCAACCAGAGCTGCTCCTGCTTTCTTAATTGGCTGTTTATTAAACAAACAGTCCCAGAACCCCTGGGTGAGATTTAAAAATATCTTATGGTTTATTTTTATGCCGGGGTAAAAGAACGATGTCCCCGAAGAGTTCAGGGTAATGGATCATTTCTCTGTTCTCGCAGCTCAAACTCACAGATTCATTATAAAACTATAAACTGTTCACTTCATTCAGTGATTCCTGCTGATTTTTCTGAAACGATACGAGGAAGCAGAGCTGGAAGAGCGGACCAACGTGGAAAAGATCTGCTCTGGACGAGACGAAGAAAGAGGTCAGATAAGACGAGAAGATGAGAGGAGGAGGAGCAGAGAGCCTCAGAGGGAAGGAGACGATGAGATGTTTCACTTTTACACCACCATGGATGTTTTTACTGCGATCATGAATCAGTTACGGACGGCCGATACAAACCGGTCTTCTTTACAATAAATTCAAACATACTTCATTAATCCCAAAGGGAAATTAAATGTTGCTGTAACTTGGTATCCTCGTTTCATTAAGAGATGTTATAGATGCTGACGGCTGCAGGCAGGAAGGATCCCCTGCAAAGGTCCGTTCCACAGCGGATCCGAAGAAACCAGCCGCAGATGCCACCCGATCCGCCAGGTAGAACTCCTCCCAGAGCGACGGCCACTCCTCCTCTCGCCATCTCGAGCCACATTTCCTGCCAGTTCCAGGATCTCAGCAGTCAGGAACTCGAGCACAGCCGGCAGGGAGATGGGAATGCATCTACGGCGCCTCCTTTTCAACTCGTTTGAAATTTGGGGCTGTAGTTGAGATATTATTTGAGCTTTGAGAGGGTAATCGGCAGCTCCCGGTTGTAAAAAACACTTTGTTGTCATGGTTACACATGATTTTTGTATTGAACGCTTTTTGAATTACACATGATAAAAAATAAATGTCAAAAAGTAAAAAATCCGTCCAGCGACACAGCATCTGACACCAGAGGAAACAATCATCCAAAAAATGTGGTTTACACCCAGAAAAATAAGAATTAAAGTTTCCAAAAGCAAAACCTCAGAATGATTGTAACAGAGCTGCGCCGACATGCAGCCACCCCGAGCGGCGCAATTCTAGAAATCGACACAGCAAATAAATAAAACAAAACTTTTTAGTGAAATATGAAGTGCATCAATATTCACCCCATTTAAAGTGACTGTCCTGATTCAACTCAAAGACAAGATTATTAAAGAATTAAAGTCAGGGGATGGATACAAAAAGCTTACCAAGTCCCTTAACATCCTAACTTCTTTGAAATGTCTCATCAAGGAACTGAAGGAGTTTGGAACATGTGGAAATCTACTGAGAGCAGGCCGTCCTCACAAACGGAGTGACCGTGCAGGACGGAGAAGAGCGGGACGGACCACCCGTGACCTCTCTGAAGGAGTGACGAGCTTCAGCAGGTGAGATGGGAGAGACTGAGCATACATGAACTGTTGCCTCAGTTCTTCACCAGCTTTAAGTGGCAAAGATAAACCGGCTGTTGAAGGAAAACTTAAATCTCAACAAGTTTGTCTGGATTCATCACTTTAGTGAACGGCTGCTCCAGCAGACACTGACTCTCCTCAGACATGCATCAGTTGTGGAGAGGAGAAAGAAACTGAAGACATGACACTATTCAGGAACATAA